GTTGTTGTTGTTGTTGTTGTTGTTGTTGTTGTTGTTGTTGAGTGTGTGTGTTTGTGTGTGTGTTTGTGTACAGCCGTCGGATGTTGCGAACTTTGCAGACCTGGGAGACGGCATGAGCTCTGTCGGTGGCTCAGTGATATCATCACGTGCAGGAGCGTCCTCGATGGCAAGCAGCAATTATGGCTATGGCGGGCAACGCAGGGGAGTGCGACGAGGCCCAGGTAACCATTTTTGTATTCAATTCTTTGACTCCACCGTATAATATTCATCTTTTTTTTTTAAATAAAAAGAATATCTCAAATGCATAAAGTGAACTTGAATTAACAACACATTAGTTGACCACTGATGGGGTTAGCTAAAGATCAAGAAGTATGAGTATCCCTGTCATGCACGTTGTTATCCCTTCATATCAGGCGCATGTACTTATAACCTGCTCCATCGTAACAGGGACGAAGCAAAATATGGTTTAGGCGTATTGGCACTCGATGGGATTCACATATACACCGGTACAGCCTTGGAGGCTACATCTCCGTCTTGACATATCCACCAATACGGGAGTTACATTTCAACTATGACACACACCAGTATCACTTTGTGAGCTACATCTCACCTATAACGTGCACACAAGTACATATCGGGGGCTTCATCCCAGCCTTGACATGCACACCAGTACAGCTTTGCGAGCTACAGAACGTCTCACCCATAACCCATGAGGGCGGTGGTATTTTCTTCGCAGCCATTCTGAGTCTCATGCAGAGCCTTGAAATTCTTTACCGTAAGTCAATTTTTTTGGCACGTTTAGATTTAGGCCTCCTGGGGCTAGTAGTAGTAATACCCATTTCAGTCTTTACTGCTGCTGCCTGTACTTGTACTTTTACTGCCTCTATACACTGGCACACTGGACGTTGCAAAACAAAATTTCGGCCGTAACAAATTTTCAGCCAAAAATGCCCAGGCCGAAAAAAGATATGCGCCGAATGTCTGTTGACTTACTTTATGCATGTATGTTTTCAGCATACGCCAGCATCTCACAGCACAATACAAGAACTGTTCAGGACGTGGGATAATCTATACTCTTCTCTATCGTGATGTTATCTCCTCTTTGGCTTTCTGCAGGCCATGGTAATCAGCAGGCTGCCATTGCGGAATCAGCCTTGGAGGAGATCCCGCCAGATATGTTGGAGCTGCTCGACGACCCAGCGCTCATTGAGGCCGCAATGGCGAATGCTGGCCAGCATGGTGATGACTCTGAGGGTATGGGCTCCTCGGCGTGGCAGGACACGGATCTCTAGAGAAATGGCTCCAGTTTATACGAAATGACGTGTTTGTGTGCTTGCCTTGTAACTCGGTGCATTCACTGCTCGCTCGCTATGCAGTACTCTAGCTCCACGGCCGGCATTTTCCTTCATTTAATTTCAGAAAAAGCCTGACGTACAGGTACATGTAGGTTAGTGGAGAAGGTGTCATGCCTGTTCGCTTAGTGAGAATATTTTTTAGAGAATGACACTATTTTAGATGCTTTGTGAATGCTCACCATCCACTATTAGTGTTAGAAAGAATCATTGTCCATGTCAGGCAGCATAGGTAATGCCATGATGTGGGAATGGTTTCCCCTAGCTAGCAAGCAACATAGACTATACCAGGGTTTGCTATTCTTTGAGAAGGATTCACTGGATGCATGCATGTCCGATGATGCGCATTATCTCTCATTCTAAATTATCTACCTCTGCTCTCTTCAAGTTGAATTTTTTTCTCTTTCGTAATTCGCCCATGAGTACTTATTGGTTTCTTTTTCCATGCCCCCCCCTCCACGCACACACAAACACACTTTTTTCTTCTTCAGATGATGATGGATACATTTCCAGCTGCCATTCTCATAAAATAATTTCAACTCCAGTGATATATATTTTTCGTCCATACCGGCATATCATAATCTTTTTAAATCCACAATTATCATAAACTTTTTTTCTAGTTTTTTAGAGGGTCAACGTAGTTTGCCAACGAAAAATTTAGCTGTCTTTCCCGTCTACATTACTTCAATAGGATAGTTTTGCAATTTTCTTGTTCTCCCCCCCCCCCCCCCCCCCTCCCGCACACACACACGTGCACGCACGCACGCGCACACACGTGCACGCACGCACGCGCACACACACCCCTTTTCTTCCTCTCTTGCCCAACGTTTGCTACCATAATTTTTTTCTTTCCTCTCATTCAATATCTACTTGTTATTTTCGCGACATCATGCCTTGCCACTGTGTCCACTGACTGTGTATGTACAATGTCATGAACATGTTTGCGTGCATACATGTAGATCTACATGCCTAGCCCTCTTTTTGTGCTCTGACGAGCGAAGAATTCAAGATTTGAACAAAAGTTGAACAGCAAAAAAAAGGGTTGTTTTGTTGGTAGTGCCAGTGGTCATGACCACTACTAGTACTACTAGCACTACCAACAAAACAATCCTTTTTTTTTGCTGTTCAAATTTTGAATTTTTCGCTCTCCTTGCATCCAGGTATATTCTAGCTACTCTACAAAACACATCACAGACGTACTCACGTAGACATGTCGACCATGGGCATGGTCGACAGTCGACTACAGACAGTATACCATGGTATACATGTAGTACTAATAATAGTCGACGACAGTCGAGTCGGGCCAAGCCACGTACACGTTATTTACATCAGATGATCAGCGACAGTACGACTCCGACTACGAGTACTTACATTCAGTAAATTGACAGACAGTAATTTACTGTCCAGTCTGCCTGTTATGGCCAATAAGTTATTGGCCATGATAACAGACTGGACAGTAAATTACTGTCTGTCAATTATTTACTGAATGTGACATAACTTCATAAGTGGGCTTGGCCTCGCGGGCCGGCCGGCCCTTACGACAGTACAAAACGGGCCCACTTGGTTTTTGTACAGGAGATTGCGCTTCCCGGGACTTTCCCGTTCTCAACGTTCAAGGAGGTGTATTTTGAACGCAATCTCTGCTCAGTTGGGTCTCCAAAGCACCACTTCTGATGTATGGAATCGAGCATGAGTACGAGGACGAAAGTGCGGAATCGGAGCCCGACGCGCGCTAGCGCGGAGGGCTCCGATTCTAGCACTTGAGTCCGAGTACGAATGCTTTGATACCATTTCTGACATGCATTGCACGAACTACTTCGTACTACTAGTACTACTACATGTAGTACTTCACACATACCTAGTACCTACTCAAGGCACGCACACTAGACCAGACAAGGAACACAACTAGTCGCCAGTTTAGTACTTCAGACATGTTACATAATGACTAATGTACACAGTCACAACACAGAGATAAAACAAGGGCGGTCTAGTCAGCTAAAAACCAGGTCAGTTCAGCTTCTCTTCTTCGCAGTGACTACAGCCTACAGCCTACAGGTGCAGGTGAACATTGCAGTTTGCACCAAACTGAGCTCCGGAAAAGTTGATGGTCTTCGTAGCTTTCTGCATCAGAGACCGTTGGTGAGTAGGATCTCGAGAGGTTGGCTTTGTTGGAGATCCTTTTCATCATAGCCTTTATGGTGTTCTTACCCAGCGGTAAACCATTGAAGGCTTGCGTTCCGGGCTTTACAGAGCGAGATGCCATCTGAAACAGTCTCTCGCTCTTCGGGCTGAGAGACTCCAGCAACAGCTTTACGGCATGGACTTGCTCTGGCTGCTGAAAAAAAAAGCGGCCTCTGATGGCTGAATCGGAGCACGCCTAGGCGTGCTCCGATTCAATCGGAGCACGCCTGGGCGTGCTCCGATTGGAAAATCGGAGACCTGCAAGCGCTCACAGGTCTTCAGTGGCTGATTCAAAGCACGGCAAGTCGCGCTAGGATTCGCTGTTGCCATGTCGATTGTCATGTGACGTCACATGTCAGAACACCGCGTCGAGCTGTCCTCGCGGCTACAGTTGCGCAACATCCTGACCATACTTCGCCAAAGAAAAAAGTAGTGAATTTGAGCTTTCCTTCGCTGAGAAAAGCCATTCTTCATGGAAATTTGTCTCTGAAGTTGTTGCCGTTCGATCGTTCTAGTCACCGAAGTTTGTTGCCTCCTTGAGGTGCTCAACGAGTTTTCGTCACGTCAAGGGTAGTTTTGCCGAGGAGAAGAGTATCTGTGTAGCTGTTTTTTGTTACTGCTGGGGCCCCGCTGATTCCTTGTTGGCCCCGCTGGGTCCAAATCTCTAGCAACATTTAGTGGAAATTGTTACGTTTTCAGTGGATTTGAAATGGAAAAACACCAAGAAAAGTTACAGCTGGTGTGCAGGTTAGGCGGTGAAAAGTTGTGTAGTACTAGCCGTGGAACTCAGCACCTTGTGAGAGATCATGCAAAAGCCATTGAATCTGTGCTGAGTATTAATGTGTTGTGTGATGACCAAAAAACTCATGCATATGAATATGCATGTAGCTCCAGCCTCATCCAGTCTGCATTTAGACGATGCAACAATTGGCATGGATATTCCCCTGATGAAACTGTACGACATTGCATCACCGCCATACAAAGCAATTGCTGACTTGCTGCCGGAACGCTTTAAATACAGAGTTCGTTGCAGCAGGTGCCAACTTGCAGCACGCACGGCGGTACAACAACAACGTGATTAGAAAAGCCATTCTTCCTGTTGAGCTGCAAGACGTGTGTATTCCTGTGCTCCACCTAGATCTAGGGATTTATCCCTGGATTTACGGTGCACTTTGTGCTGACGCACATCAAATCGATATTGCACTGAGCAAATGTATGTTTCTTGCTGCAGATGACGGTGACTCTGCAGCGTTTACAGCACTTATCACTGCCTACAAGAAAGTACACGACACAGCAACACAACAATTACACCTACAGTCAGAAGCACAAAGCATTCTTAGTCAGCTGCAGTTTGTGACGCTACAAGAACGTACACGACACAGCAACACAACAACTACACCTACAGTCAGAAGCACAAAGCATTCTTAGGCAGCTGCAATGTGTGACGCTGCACATTCAGCAGCAGGAAGTAGTGGCTGCTTGCTTGCAGACTGTGGCATCAAATCTGCACTTCCTATGGAAGGAGAAAGAAAAGGAACTCAATTTGATGAATGAGAGGTGATGTGGCTCGAAAAGAGCATGAGAAATTAACAGTAAAAGATTTAAAAAAAGCAGCTGGCCCGTGCGTAACTTCCTTGGAAGCAGTGCTGCCACAGTACCAAATAAAGCGGCAAGCATATCACTCTGGAGCATATGTCGGCAACCACATACACCGTGCGTTAAAACCGGATGTCATTGCTGCCCTCACTTCTGTCCCCCTTACAGTCGTGCAGAGCCGCACACCTGCGGACAGCGGCGAGGTTCAGCTGCTTGCCCAGGCAAAGTCCTTGAGAGATCGCTACTCGAGACTCTTCACAGAGTATGCAGCATGTCGCAAGCTGTTCAGCGGCAAGCTGGTTTTTACAACAGCAACAAGGCAGGTTCTGGGTGATGCCATCCACACCTTCATGGCCACCTGTAGAGCGGAGGTTCTGGCACGCAAGTTAGGCAATGTGACTCCTAAGCTTCACCTTCTCGAGTGCCATGTCCTTCCTTGTACAGGGTTGAAATTAATTCTTGCTGATCTGTTCGGCCACACACTCTGAGCTCCTCTGATGAGACCTAACAAGGTTGAAATTAATTCTTGCTGATCTGTTCGGCCACACACACTCTGAGCTCCTCTGATGAGACCTAACAAGGTTGAAATTAATTCTTGCTGATCTGTTCGGCCACACACTCTGAGCTCCGCTGATGAGACCTAACAAGGTCGAAATTTATTCTTGCTGATCTGTTCGGCCACACACTCTGAGCTCCCCTGATGAGACCTAACACTGTAACAGGGTTGAAACTAATTCTTGCTGATCTGTCCGGCCACACACTGTGAACTCCGCTGATGAGACCTAACAAGGTCGAAACAGCTATAGCTGTCCGGAGATTGAGTAAACTTGACCAAAAGTTCTCCTCCGATCCGAGGCGCAGGTCGTCATTTTGCGAAAGAGTCCTGCGAAGCACATCTCCTTTATCTGCTACTGAGCGGTATCCGTTGCACTTCGCGGAGCACAGCTGCCTCCAACAACATTTTTTGACGAGCAAGAGACTGAAGAGACGAAATCCATAAAAGTACTATTTCAAGTATTCGAAGTGACAGAACCTTTTCTTTCTGCAGAAATGATCATGAAAATTTGAAAAATGCGATGAGCGTAGACCCAGGTGCTCGAAGTCCGTACATGGTATCCTAAGTTCGTACGCCCATAATTTCATGTTCTGTTATTGTATTCGACTCAAATATTTTATGGAGGGGACAGTGTGGTATGTTCTCCTCGCGTAGACCCGGGTGCTCGAATGAGACACAGGGTACCAAAACAGAAACACCCTGAAATTGTACCTAAACTTGTTCCGATTTCGTTTAGTTTTCACACATACCATCAACATACGGCCCGCTAACGGTATGCCAAATTTCAGCGCTGCCCGGTAAACATGGTAAACGCTTTTTGAAATACTCGCGACCCACTTTTTCCTGGGTCCTTGATTCGAGGATATGGGTCTCCTGTACGGTGCTGCTAAAGACCTGCTGAATCTGCGGCTCCACTGACCATCTTGCTCTCAAAAATGAAGTAGTAAGTTACTACTCCCTGCCCTCAACTGCCACACCAAGCGTAGACGATGGTAGACCCGTGTGCTTGAATCGGAGACGATCTGACGAGTTCGCTGTTTCTGATTCGAGCACCCAATTTTCGAATAAAAAATCCGAAGGAAATACGACAATTTTACTGCGTACTGTAGCTTGTGTTGTAGCGCACCCAGGTTCTGAATTCCTGCTAGGTGGGTCAAGCCAGACTCTCTTCCCTGTTCCATCGCCTCTCCAAAAGTATATTCTTACATTATTGAGATTTACAGATGAGAAATTCCACACCTGTCAAATCGTTTCTGATTCGAGCACCCGGGTCTAGCAATTTTCAGGGATCTACGATGAGCAGAAGTCCCATACCACGCGAGTGGGTTTTCGAGTGTCCATACGAAGTACAAATTGGGTTACATTTCATGCAAAAATCAACTTGGCCAAGACCGATTTCGAACGGACACAGCGTCAAACAGACCTTCACTCAATCATCAAGAGCCAGCTTAGAGCTGACAATGGCCAGAGGAGAAGAATTTACAGAGAACCACCAATCTTTGCAGAAAGGTTGACACTCCTGGCATCTCCACCACTGTTTTCCCGCGGTTTTCACAGCGCAGCTGCTTCTTCTCTGAGCCGACTAAAAACAGCTTGCATTTCGGCAACAAACTACGCTTTTGCAAGAAATACTGGTGGAGGCACATGCCAAACATATCCCTTCGGTGCTTTCGTCGTAACCGAGGGATTGCAAGTTAGCAATTAGCAGAAATATGTGTGTATTTCGAGTCACCTCTGATCAGTACGGACTTAGAGTACCCTCTGCGACACAAAAATTTGATATGAAAAATCAGCGAACTCCAGAGAAACAGATCGGATCGAAAGATGGCCTGGTTCAATCGAGCCTGGCCTCAGAACAAACTTGGACAATATACCTTCCATCCACGAGCAGGATTCTGGCAAGTGATCATTGTAGTGTGAGTTTCAGCTCGGCAAACACACACTGTAAAAGTGTACGGACTTCGAGCACCTGGGTCTACCCACGCTTTCCGTGTGACCTCTGTTGCCAGGGGCGTTGCTACAGGTCGCCGCCATCTTGCCAAGTGGCCTCCCGGGGATCCCCGTAACAGCCGTGGCCGGGCGGACCAGTCGAGTCTGGAGCATAGAGCAGTGTGCACCACACAGAGAGACAGGCAGTGCACACTGCACAGTCGAACTAGTCACTCGTCAGAGGTTTGGTTTCCGGTCCCTGAGGGGAGCCTTTCGCAAAATTTAATATTTATTTCCTGGTCTATAGAATCTCCTTCAACCCCTATCCTCTAAAAGAAATCTAGGATGAAGCAATGCCTGTTCGAGTACTGGTATGGTGGAGCAGCTGGTACTGCAGTGCCGGTACGTTTCTTGGTAGTTTTGGGCGATGGCTTCCAGCCCAGGACCCACTTGAAAAACGTCAATCGTCACAATCATATCCAAATGTTGCACGATCGAAGAGGCTAGGACTCGAGTGGATGGAGTGGAGAGCAATGATTGAACTGAAGATGAGCATAGCACCACGACACTAGTGCCCTAGTCGCACCACCAATGCAGAGTCAAGTGCATTCGCTCCTTCCGCCGCGCGGACAGGTGGTCTTGCCACAGTTGCAAACGTAAGAATGATGACGAGTCCTGGCGTTTCGTGTTCAAACATCCCAGTATATTTTTGACATTGTCGTGAGGTGCGCTGCAAGTAGTTACCTACTGGCGTGGAGGTGTAGTCTTCCCGGGCGAACGCTGCCATTCCAGTAATTGTTATTGTAACGAGTAACGTATTGCCTGCACTGAGTATTGTCCTGTCGGCGGCGATATCGACTCCTGGTCCTGTTTAGTTGATCCGAGCTATCGGAGCACGGAAGGAAACTATAGAGCCAGCAGTTTATGTGAAGTATAGGTGTTCTGGTGCGTGAAGTTGTCAACAACGGTGGTTCGGAGATGGACCTCGCTGTGGCGCTAGCCAGTCAAAACACATCGGTGAGTTCGCCTTGTTTCTAGCTTCAGACAGTTACTAGTACTCGAACCATTCTTCACCGACCTGTGATTGGGTGCCGGCCCAGTCGCTCATGTGCATGCGTGCCGAAAGTCTGACATTTTGAGGCTTGCAGCGCTGTCGATATCTTGTCCTGTTGTCCTGTTGTCGTGTTGATGACTCTTTATGATGAGGTGTAAAATCGCTTCCATGAGATCGCATGCAGAGAGTACAAAGAGTGACTCTTTATATGGGCCAGTGACATGATGCTCTTAATGCCAGTGGTTTGATTGCTTGTATTTTCTGGGAACACCTGGTCAGTGACATCACATTTCATGCCGTCATAGCATGTTTCCTGATCTAAATAATTTATAGAGGTAACCAGTATGCTAAAGAAGTCCTAATGACGAATCGACGGATTTCCAGAACCACACATTGGCGCTAATAAGCAATTCAGACTACGGCCAATTGTGACTCCGTTTCTACGACTCAGACGTATTTGATCAGCGATTGTGCATAACATTTTGAAACGCGACTTCATCACCATGGAAACTCCAGTTCACACGTGATTTTGGCCGTGGTCTGAATCGCCTATAAGTTTACAGCAAAACAGATTATGGGCGCTGTGTACATGTAAACAGGTTGAGTCGCTAGGGCGCGGCGTGCCCAGACTTTGTCAAAGCATCGCCCGACGTGTACTTGAGTGACGGGACAGGATTTCACTGAGCAGTTGCACTGTGTAGCCAGCGGTGTACTGCATAAATGTGCAATTTAAAAAAAAAGTGGTAGGAGCCTCCTTCCCCAGACCAGTGCCGGGTATGGGTGGTAAGATGCTGATTGGAGATCCTTGCTTCATGCTGCTTTCGTCTACGTCCATGTATTTTATGCAGCTGGCTGTGGCTACACTGTGTAACTGTGTTATAATGTGGATCGGTGTGTTCGGGTTGTTACAGGACGATACGACAAAGCCAAGAGAGGATGCGGATGACTTGCCCCTAGGCGGGCAGTCTACTGTGGAAACGACCAGCGAGGAGTTGCGCAATCACTCGCCAGCCAAGCTGACGGAGAAGGGTGCGCCCACGGCAAGTTCCTCCACTGCATCGTCCCAGGGTATACCCACAGACATCTCGAGTCCAGAAGAACCCGCTCAATCTGCGCCGACGACAGACAGTGCTGTGAAGAAGACGATTCGCGGAAGCGACTCAGGCCATGATTCAGACGCCTCTAGTAGTGATGCGGCAAGAGCCAGCCCTCAGTCTAGTTCGTCTACGGAGACAGACACTGTGGAAGAAAGCGAGGCTGTGCGGGACAACCCGTTTGATCCCCAGCCGAATGCTGACACCAATGGTAACTTGTCCAGTGTTCTAGCTATGTTGTTTTAAATAGTGAAATAGTAGTACTGTAGTGTGTATTTCATGTTCTAGTGCTGATGAGCAATTTAGTGTGGCTTGCACGTAGGTAGAACCAAGAGCACAGAACCAAGAGTGTGCAACTCCTATCTCGAGCTATGATGGTTTACCCACGGTGGAATTTGTTTATTGTGTCATTCTTTGGCAGAAGTATGATCAAGTGCTTATGGTTTCCCGCGCTTGTTTTGTAGACATGGTGAGAGTTTATCAACACATTCATCTATCGTCCGTTGTTCTGCTTCCTCTATCGAAGCTGGGATGCACAAATTCTTTGCATTTTGATCTCTAGATACGCATGATGGCATCAGTGAGCCAAACCGCTGCCGAAGACTGATGCCGTACAAAAATCAGCCGTGGGCTGGGGAATGTCGTGTTGCACACTCTTGGTTATGTACTTGTGGTAGTACTACAGTCAACTTCGCTTATAACGACACTCGGCGGGGCATCAGAAAAGTGTCCTTATTCGCGAAGTGTCGTTATATCCGAAGTCTTATTATATGTATTACAGTTGGAAGGGACTTTGCTCTGGGCATGGAAATGCTGTCGTTATTCGCGAATTGTCGTTATATCCGAAGTCGTTATCAGCGAAGTTGACTGTATGTGTTCTTCTCCAGCATGATGATCATTCGGGCTGTTCTGGTTACAAGATGACTCTTTGAATGCTGTTTTCTCAAAAACTCTCTCTTGAACTGATAGACTCCCAAGGTGGAGCGGTGGCGGCTGCAGCAGCAGCACCAGAAAACCCTGTAGCAGAGCCAGACGACGTCACGGATGATAAAGCGGAGCCGGCAGAGTGGATCGTCCCCGACGACCCGCTGAAGCACTACGGCAGCAAAGCCATTGTTCTCATGGCGGTACGCGGAGCGCCGGGAAATCGAAAGTGTGCCGACTGCGGACGGCTAGGTGAGAGGACATAGGACAGTCATGAGTATTTTCACGCATGGCTATTTTCAGGCATGACTATTTTCACTCATGACTATTTTCAGGAATGGACTCGGATGGAGAGCCAAGATGTGCTAGAGCTGTTAGCCAGTTAGTTGTAGAACGTCAGTACCGTCAGTCAGTGTCGTACAATGTTATCGCATGAGCTGATTATTTAGTAGCTGGTGGTGTTAGTGGACAGTATAGCGTAACTTATAGTTCTTTCGTCTTTCTCTTTTGTATAGACTATTTTCAGGCATGACTCTTTTCGCGCATGACTATTTCCAGGAATGACTATTTTCAGGCATGACTAATTTCTGGAATGACGTTTTTCAGGCATGACTATTTTCGAACACCAGTACATATACCTCTCATGCGGGGTCACGGCGAGGCCCAAAACCTCCCCGGTATGGGTTTTATTTCCACTGATGTAGTCAAGTGGTGTGCTTCACTGTCCGAAGAGTGCTCAATGCCCATGTAGGGCAGAGCCTTGTACACAAGAGAGAGTTTGGAAGCTTTGTCACAACTCCGAGTTTCACGTATCTCTACGATCATCAGGCAACCTGATGATCGTAGAGAGACGTGAAACTCGGAGTTGTGACAAAGCTTCTAAACTCTCTCTTGTTTCCACTGATATATAAACTTCACAGCTCATTGAGCCAACAATGTCACATTCAGTTCAGGTTTATCGTATGGAAATGTGTGTGGTGTCTCTAAGCCAAAAGTGGGGATGAATGGCCAATTTCTTCTGAGACTGTTAGATGCCGCTTGTACCTCGAAATAGTAGTATTGCCGTACGCGCTTGTCTAGGATGACCAAAGGGTTAGGGCACGTGTGAAGTGATGCAGAAGTGCATCTTTCTATGGTGACATATTTCCATGGTGAAATGTTTAGGAAGCGACATGTTTCGATGGTGACATGACTTCATACTGCCTGATATCCACTACTTATTTGGAAAGTGACTGCCCCCAAGGCGACTGTGTACGACCGGCCATCCCTCCTTGAGTCTGACAACTTCAGTATTCTTGAACGGTGCAAATTACTCACCCCCCCCCCCCCCCTCCCTCCCGCACCTCGCTGTCAAGCGTATGGCTTTTGTTGACTGGAGACGGTGGATCCCCCTTGATAGGCAACAAGCCTCTGGGTCATCCTAATAAAGATATTATCCGTCAACAATGTTGGCCTTCTGGTTAGTTCAAATTACCTTCTAGTCCTTGAACACGAGAAATTTATTGCAAAAGATGATGTCAATGCATCACATACAGGGCAGAATGGCTTAGCAAACGTGTATTCGTTTCTTTTCGCAGCACTATTGTCCGTAATCGGTCCTCTGATATCTGCCTTTCGTTTGGTCAGATCCGGACTGGGCAGATCTCAACTTCGGAGTTCTCCTCTGTATTGACTGCTGCGGTGCACATCGGGCCTTGAACAAGCTTGTGCCTGTAGTGCGCAGCTTGTCCATAGATTCACAATGGACGGAGGACCAGTTCAAGGTATGTTGGCTGAGCCACACGGCTCACTCTCACGTAAAATGTTTGTCAGACGAGGGCGCAAAGATGACATCTGCTTTGGTGTTGCGCCGTAGGATCATACATTACACATGATTCCTGACAAGCATATGGTACCTGCGATGACATGCTATCAGCGATGCAAATAAAATCTGAGGTGTACACGTGATATGAGGTGCGCGCAAGAACGTTGATGCACGCGATCCCTATGATGAACGTGATCTGTGTGTCGCACGCTATCCTTATGCGGTATCTGAGATGCGCATCGGAATCCTGCGATCCACACGATCCCTCAGTTGCATACTATCCATGCAATGCATATGATCTCTACTATGTTGGCAATTCCGGAGATGCAGACAATCCTGTCTCTACCAGTTGATCGGGCAGTGCAGCAGTCAATCGAGCACGTGCCGTGGCCTGTATTCAGATGTGCCTACACCAGTACAGCCCGTTGAAGAAGCCATACGCCACTATGCAGGCTATGTGTGCATAGTTCAAGTACAACATGGATGTGTCTAGTACTTTCTACCTTGCTTATGACACGAGTTCCAAGCACATATTTTTTTACCGATTGAAATGTTTCTTCAATGAAGATCACACGATGCGATTGAAGATGGAGTTTATGACAGTGAAGGTGTCGATGATAAAAATTAGAATGAAACGTTTTCTTTTACACTCGTGCCAAGTTTTGCAGTTTTTGCAGTTTTGCAAATTGTTTCATATGTATCCCCTTGTGTGTACAGCTTCTGCTCAGAGGAAATAAGAATGCCAACGGCTGCCTGGAAAAGCGTCGTCCACAGGCGTATCCGAAACCACTCTCTGATGAGTAAGATCATCCTGATTGCAATGCTGATCCTCGTGTGGTGTATTTGGGCATGCGTGAATTCCTTTGTAGTCGTGTGTGCATGCATGTGTGCTTACATACTGGTATGTGTGCATGCACATGCATCACCGTGTTTGTGTGTATGCATGCGTGTATGGTGTATGTGTGTGTGTGTGTGTGTGTGTGTGTGTGTGTGTGTGTGTGTGTGTGTGTGTGTGTGTATGCGTGTGTGTATGCGTGTGTGCGTGGTGTGTGTGTGTGTATGCGTGCGTGTATGTTGTGTGTGTGTGTGTGTGTGTGTGTGTGTGTGTGTGTGTGTGTGTGTATGCGTGCATGCGTGCGTGGTGTGTATGTGTGTGTGTGTGTGTGTGTGTGTGTTCACGTCTTTCTTCTCTTTCTCATTCTCCTAGCTCTTCTTTCTTTCTCCTGGGTGGTTACCAACAGCCAGTGTATGCCGGAGTATGTGGTGTGGTGTGTGTAAAAAAAAATGAAAAATAGGGATTCGCTGGCCAGAAAAAGCCACTTCAAACTGCTGTGTGGTGGATACCAGGCTAAAATTAGTGGCGGTCAATTCATCAGCCTTGCAAGCTGTTGAATGGTGTAATCCCAGCACAAGTTGCTATGTCTAACATAGCTGTTCGCTATCATCGCTTCCGTGATGGGCATGTCTGAGGTGTGTGTGTGTGAGAGGGGGGGATTGTGTGTGCATGTGTGTAGACCGTACGAGTGCCACTGAGTGGTTGTGTTCGTGTCCTGACACACACTAGGTTTGGGCGTGATTGTGCAGTTGTGCAATTTTTATAAAAAATAAACACATTATAAATCACCTTCCCGTGGTCAGGGACTATATGCCAATACGGCGGGAGGGGGTGATAGCCAGCCATGTCAGTATGCAAAAGCAATGCAAAAAAATGATAAATTTAAAGAGGCAGTAACCTGTACACAGGGCGAGGCAAAGAGAACATTAAATGTGCGTGAGAGTAACATTTCACCGGTATGTTTCAGTGTGCTTCCGTTTGTCGTTGCCGCTTCTTGCGTGTTTACCTGCATGTGTGTACCAGTCATGTTACCAACGTGCAGTGAGTCATCAGAAATCTCATCAGCCTGGGGTCTGGGCAAATTCGTCAGATCTTCTGGACGGGGGATGATTAGCGTTATGAAAATGACAATCTTCAGTACACTAGAGTCACAAGTCACAACACCTCATGCTAGTCAAGTCCCTAGACTTGCTCCAACACCCGCACCAGCTGCAGTTGGAAGATCGAATTTGACTGTTCCCAGCAGTTCTGAAAAATGAAATCCATCTTACCGCTATGATTAGGGTAGGCCCTGGTTGAGGTGCACGTGAAAGTCCTTGTGAAACGAAATCGTGTAGACCCCTCCGCACACATTCCTGCATTCATGTGCTCGAATGCATTAGAACTTCAAAACGTGTATAGGGCATCACCTGATTATTACCCAGTGCCAAGTCTCGCTGATTCTTCACCATCTTTACGTTTGTGTGCGTGTACGTGTCCATGTGTGAGTGTGTGTGTGTGTGTGTATGTGTATGTATGTTGTGTTTATGTGTGTGTGTGTGTATATGTATGTGTGTGTGTGTGTGTGTGTGTGTGTGTGTGTGTGTGTTTATGTGTATGTGTGTGTGTGTGTGTGTACATGCTTGTGGTCACGTGTGTTGTGGGTATATCATGTATGTGCCTCTTTCCCCCCGCTTCCTGGACGCACGTGTGTGTACGGCGTGCAGTGCTACTATTCTGCGACTACAATACATACTGGCCAAGTATGATAACCAAGAGTTTACTGGTCAGCCTTTGAAGGAGCCAACTTACGGGCAAAGTATGTAACCAGCAGCCATGTTATTTGACTTAGATTCGTTCCTGAGGATTGATATGCTCTCCTTTTCTGCCTGCAGTTTCTTGTAAGCTGCCTATGGCTGCTAACCTGCACTTTAGCCATTATAGGAAAGGATAAGGACCAAGGAACTACAAGTTACGCTACACTGTCCACTGACGGGAACAGTTACCGGACAATCAGCTCATGCGATAGGATTGCATGACACTGACCCACGGCACAAACGTTCCACAACTAACTTGCACTGTGCAATGTTATCGCTTGAGAGGCTTGTCCAGTAACTGGTGGAGTTTAGTGGACAATATAGCATAACTTGTAGTTCCTTGGTCCCTTTCCTTTCCTCTAAAATCATCCTTGGCTCTCAATCCGAGGCATTTTACTTAACTTAACGCTGTTTTAGAAAGGTGTTAGCAGCATCAATACATTGTCTACATCAAGCTGCACGTCGGCAAATCAATCACCGCAGAACGAACACTGTTGCCTTTGTGTCGAGATGATGCAATCAGCTGTGTGGATGCCTACATAACCGAGGTTACTAGTGCTTTTGCGTAAGAAGCCACATGGCCTAACGAGGAGTCAGACGCATTTGACACCAACCATACTGGCATGAACCATAGAGGGTGGTGGCGTACCTACGGATGTGGAAAACTCGGCATCTAAACTAGTGTCACGGGAATCGTGACATATTTTCCGTGCATAGTTTTGTGTTGATTGTACTTAAATCAACCATACTTGCATGATGTATAGAGGGTGGTGGCGTACCTACAGATGCGGAAAACTCGTCATCCAACCTAATGTCACGGGAATCGTGACATATTTTCCTTGCAAAGTTTTGTGTTGATTGTACTTCAACGTAAACAAAGCACTACAGTTGTCAAGGTTCAGGTCCCCAGCTTGCTGCAAAGTCCACATGCCAATGGAAGTGTTGAGTACGGAAAGGAGTCATACTCCCCAGACACAACGGACACAGGAATGGTTGGCGGGAAAGACAAGTATTAGAAATGGAGAGACAGACGAACTACAACGACTACATTATGGAAGTGGGAGAGATATTGAAAGAGAACTCAATGTAAAGGGCCTGGGTAGCTATAGCAAATATCGGCTTGGAAATAGTTACCCAGGGTAACGGAACGAAAGGTGGGTACGGGGGAAAGTACGAGGGTAAGTACGGGTGCATGCAGGCCAGCTTAGGAAAAGTTGTAGATAATGCGGAAGGACATACCTAACAGAAGTGGTAGAACTTCATACCAATCGGTGTTCATCTTGATATTGACGCGTCGGTCCGCCTTTCTTATCTTATCAGACGAGATGTTGGCCAAGTTCCTCAAGCGACACCGTTATCGGGATGACTGGGCACAACGTGACTTCTACCTATCAGTGGCCGAGGGCAAGATTTGCTATGGCCTCCCCGCCAATCAATATGTGAGTACATGCAGGGACTTTGGTAATTTCGATCCATCACTAGGCCAGCCGGATAGCCGTATGATTGCGCTTGTCTCTTTCTTTTGATTTGTGCCACCCGCTGTTTTTGATTTCCCTCTCAGGAACGGAGACGATAATCTACGTAATTTAACCGCGAGACTAGATATTTGCCTGAGTAGTGTTGCTGAAGTGGCTCGCCATCTCTCGCCCCATCCTGGAGCCTCGTCTCTCCCCGCTTCTTATGTTATCGTTATTGCTCTCTCTGACTTTTCCCGTTTGTCTCTTTCCCTCAAACCAGTTAATATTGCTCTCTCCTATTCAGTTATCTTTGGTTGGCTGTGTCTTCTGCATAGAAAAGGAGAACAATTGTGCCAAGATTAAGCAAAGACAATGTCTCTACGTGAATAGTGTTATGTTCGCCTCACGCTCTGCGTGTCCAACTCTCACTCTCAGACAACACAGGCAGTCTTGGGAGAAACATCTAACTTCTTCAAGAAACTCAAACGAATATAATTATTATGAGCTCACGGGCAGGGTTGCCCTGACCCGTGGCAAAGCGGCTTGCATGACATCACGTCACCATACACATCAAATAGTGCCCACTCTGGAAAAGTGTCTTCATTTTGTGATGGACGTTGACGAAATCATGCCCAGGGTCACTGATTACAGTGCGGATCGGCTATAGGGTTGTCGGCTATAGTAATATACCTCTTATAGCGATCGTATTCTCATATTCATTTTCGTAAACCACCCCTTTCTATTCATATCGGGGCGGCTATAGTAATAATCGGCTATAGTAATATATCGGCTATAATGATACGATTTCTTTGTCAAAATGATTTTATTGCATACATTTTTCATCGGCTATAGTGATGATCATAAAAAATTATACATCGTACATGGCGAGATCTGATCGCGGCAGTCAGGAAGCGCTGGTACGACTATGATATCCCTCGGAGGAAATTCTAAATGTTTGGCGATGGCTGGGCTTGTTGTTCCGGGGCATCCTCGAGCGAGAGCGGAGGCAGTAATGAGTACCAGCGCTCAAGCGCTACAGTGGTCTCCGCCGAGATGTTGGAGAAGGCATTCAGGTAACAGCAAAGACGATCAGGGACGCGGAGAAGCTTCTCCGTGACATACGACATCACGCGTCGATCGACCTGCCACTTGGAACGGCTTCAGCGGTGATGAGTCGAGCGATGGCGACCCAGATTGAGACTCTACTCCCACTAATCGATCCTGTAGATATTGTTGATATGTCGCTTGAATGTGTTGAAGTGTTTCTCTTCCAAAAGAACACATTTGTTGAGCACAACAACTCCTTGAAAACTCATGTGAAAAAGTCACGAAGTTTTTGTTTCCGCAGGAAGTAGTTCTGCACTGCGCGTGCTGCACAGTCACATGCACAGCACGCTTCTGCACGCTGCACCGGTTCGAATGACACCATACACGCATTTGTCAGGCATACCTAAGTATGCAGATCGCCTATAGTAATATATCGCCTATAGTGATATTTTCACGAAAATCAAACACCAACGCTATAGCCGATCCGTACTGTACTTGAGTAAAGTGTTTATCGCGCTATAGTGCTCAATGACAATTGCCTAGTTCCTCTTCACTTTCTATACATACCCTAAACTCGCAGGGTTCTCCCTGCCGGCCATCCGGTAAGAATCTCAAAGGGAGAAGTGCCGTTTTTGTGGTGGACATCGACGAAATCGTGTCAAGGAACGCTCGTTGCACAGTTTCGGTACTTCTAACACGATAATAGCACACACTGAATATTGATGATTGTGTTTCTCTTCCCTTTCTCTGCCTATCTTTCCACCACAGGGTTCTCCATGCCGTCCTACCGGCAAGAACCTCAAGGGCACCATCCCGATCTTGAGCACGCATGCTGAGATCGTTAGCGCCCAGGCACTCGAGCTGGAGAACACAGAGTCCATTCTGATGCTCATGTTTCCAGAAGAAGGGGCTGACAGCCCTCGCTCGCCACGCTCACCCAAGGCACGGCGCAAGGCGGACTGGGTCAATATCGGCAACAAGGCACCCAAGGTGCGCACCGTGTTTGTCAAGCGAAGCGGTGGTGCTGTACAGGTAATGTGGAAAATTACACATACATGTACATGCAAGCATGCACGCACATACACGTACACATTCATGCACACGCACGCACGCACACGCACACACACACACACCTCAGACCTCAGACCTGCCCATCGCGGAAGCGATGATAGCGAACAGCTATATTAGACATAGCAACTTGGGCTGGGGTTACACACACACACACACACACACACACACACACACACACACACACACACACACACACACACACCCGCACACACACACACACACACACACACACACACACACACACACACACACACACACACACACACACACACACACACACACACACACGAATGTACACAAACACACAAACATACATACACGCATGTGCGCACATGCACACACACACACACACACGTACACGCACACACACGCACGCACACACACACACACACACACACGCACACACACACGCACACACACACACACAAACCCTTGGACCATTGGACGCCCATCGTGATGATGGCAATGCTACAGCAGAAGCCATAGCAGCTTGTGCTGGGTTTGCACCATTCAACAACTTGCAAGGCTGAAGAATTGACCGCCACTATTCAGCCTGGTCTACACCACACAGCTTTGAAGGGGCTTTATTCTGGCCAGTGAATACCTACTACACACACACACACACACACACACACACACACACACACACACACACAAACATACACCATTTGACCATTTGACCATTTGACGCCCATTGCCGCAGGCGATGATAGCGATACCACAGCAGAAGCCACAGCAACTACAAACACACACACACACACACACACACACACACACACACCGACATATACACTCACATGCACTCGTGCGTCCAATAACAATACAATCAAACATGGCTAGCCAGTAACTTCTCCCCTTGCCGCCTCCCCTGCGCTATCTCAAGTAGAGATGGTTATGCATAAAGGTACTTTCTCCGGAAACAAAACTTCGTTACTTTTTTTCAATACATTTCTTTGCTGTTCTGGCGCTCTCTATGTGGTTCTGTTCGCCTGAAACACCAAACGATGACATTTTGGAACCGTAGGAAGGCATGCTATGAAACAAAGTTTTGTTTTCCTGTTTGATGACATTCCTCAAACTGTCTTCGTCTAGTCGAGTACATGTGTCTTTGGATGGGGCATGCTTGTGTGCGTCTTAGTGCGTGTGTATGTGTGTGTGTGCATGGGGTGTACACCGGTGTCGGTGTGGGGAGGGGGCGGTATAGGTGTTTGTGAGTGTTTGCGTTTACCCATATCCGATCCATGAAGTTAATGTACGAACTTAGACCATGTTACATCCTTCACCGATTTCTTAAACGAATTCCTTTTTGGTGTTTTTGTGGTTATGCGGTTCACCCCTGCAGCCCATTGTGGAGTGGATGGTTGCAATAAAACGCATCCAGATACTGAGCAGCCCAGCTGCACCACTTGGCCCCATCCTGACAATGGGCTGGATGATGAAGAAGGGTCAGGAGGTAAGCTATACTGATCTGTGATCGATATTTCATGTACTTGTAGCGTTTATTGAGACATCGTGTCCTGGCTCATCAAATTACAATTCGTCCTTGAGGGGTGAGAGCCAACGATGGCATAGACATTGCTTTTCATTTGCCCGGTAGATGACGGCATGCTAGGTAAGCAGGATCAACATTCACTCAAGGCTTCACAGCCAGGATGTCATAGCCTGTATGTCGCACTGGAAGCGTAATACTAACCCTGTGGAGTTGTGCTCTATATTATTTTAAATTTTACTTTTAAGTTTTCACTAGTTTGAGGGAAAGACACAGACGGGAAATATCTGAAGAAAAAATTGACTGTCACCACAAAGTTTTGTGACTATAATCAGGCTTTCGTTTGTTCCGAGCGTTCCTGTGTGGGCTTACCCATGTAGATGGACGATGCCGTCTTTGTGGGGGTTGGGATGGCAGCTAGTGCTCTTCTATTTTTCTTTGAGATGGAAGAATATCCATGGAGACCTCCTCGTCAAAAATGTAAACTGAATGGTCGGCATGCATGTGTCTTTATCAGGGACGGAGATGGAGAATTGCAAACTTGTGTGAAAATTTATGATTCTTTATACTATATGATAGTCAAGTGAGAATTCAAGTTGGCAGGAAAAGCACGAGCTCCCATGTAGGGAGCAACACACAATTCCCCAAGTCGCCGAAGTCGCAATGATGTTGAATCCTATGATGGTTGGCATATTTTCCTGTTCAGCCATCCTCCTCTTGGAAGAAGCGTTGGTTCATATTGGACGACATGGAGTTACGTTACTATGTAGGACCAATGGTGAGTGAAGGGTCTGTGTGTGTGTATGTGTGTAAAAAGAAAAATAGTGATTCACTGGCCAGAAAAAGCCACTTCAATCAGCTGTGTGGTGGATACCAGGCTAAAATTAGTGGCGGTCAATTCATCAGCCTTGCAAGCTGTTGAATGGTGTAATCCCAGCACAAGTTGCTATGTCTAACATAGCTGTTCGCTATCATCGCTTCAGCGATGGGCATGTCTGAGTCTGAGTATGTGTGTGTGTGTGTGTGTGTGTGTGTGTGTGTGTGTGTGTGTGTGTGTGTGTGTGTGTGTGTGTGGTGTGTGTGTGTGTTTGTGTGCGTGTGTGTATGTGTGTGTGTGTGTGTGTGTGTGTGTGTGTGTGTGTGTGTGTGTGTGTGTGTGTGTGTGTGTAATGTGCGCATGTGTACATGCGTGCCTGCGTTTGGGTGTGTGGTGTTCCTCGATGCCGTGTCCGAATTTCACAATGACTGATGTTAGTACAGTCAGACCTCGCTTATCCGGTCCTCTTTTATCCGGATCCCTCGCCATCCGGAAGAAAATAGCTGGTTACAGATCTACAGCATACGCAATGCATCCTACATAACCGGTGTTCGGTTATCCGGTTCCCTCGCCTATCCGGACATTTTTGTGGGAAACGGATGTGTGCGGTTAAGCGAGGTCTGACTGTACTGGGTATGTGTGTGCGGGTGAGTGGGGTGGGGGAAAGGATGTGTGTGCGTGTGTGTGTGTGTATGTGTGTGTGTGTGTGTGTGTGTGTGTGTGTGTGTGTGTGTGTGTGTGTGTGCGCCCCTCCGGGGCCCACGTGACCCCTGTGGCAGTGGCTCTACAGGACAGGTGTGTGTGTGTGTGTGTGTGTGTGTGTGCGCGCGCGCGCGCGCGTGCGTGTGTGTGTAGCCGTTTTATGCAGATGTACTCCGTGTGGTGTAGACCAGGTGTGCATTGGTGGTTGATTCACATGGCTTCGCAAGTTGTGTGGATTATACAGTTATCTGGCGCTAGTCATGATCTGTGTCATTCAGATCTTGTCCACTATCGTTGCTATATTAGAGAAAATCTGTGGATGCACACCCAGTGCATTTGCAAATTTGCGTGCTTCTCTTGCAACGGGCGTATACATGGTACATGATGTGTGAGTGTGTGTTTATGTTCATCTGGGAGAGAGAGTGTGTGCGTGTTTGTGTTTGTGCAAGTGTGTGCGTACATGCATTAGTTCGATGCTAGGTGTGCTTGTGGGAGTGTGTGCTGGGTTTTTTTCATTGGGAGGGGGGGGGGGGAAGGGTTGTACATGAGTGTGTCTGTGTGGGGTGGTGAAGTGCTCTTTATCCGCGATGGAATGCGGAATTATTTCGCGCGGGATACGCTGATTGTTCCTCCGATGGCTCGATGCATATGTTCAGCTCATGGGATTCAGTGGGCGATAGCATGGGATTCAATGGGCGATAGCATGGGATTCAGTGGGCGACAGCATGGGATTCAGTGGGCGATAGCATGGGATTCAGTGGGCGATAGCATGGGATTCAGTGGGCGATATCATGGG